AGCAGGAATAAATGCATGCATACCAAAATCCCAAGAGGAGAATGGAGGAAAAGAGATTGTGGTGTGGTCATCCCACCCAGGTGGGGAGTGCTTTCTCACTTTATACCCTCACACTCCTATATATATATATAAAATTAAATATATATCTGTATCTATTTGTGTGTGTGTATATGGGACCAGCAGTTGGCGTAATGGCTATATGTATGCGTGTGTGTTTGTATGTTGACTTGAATCATCAACAAGCCATTGGTGTGATGAGCTTTTTCTGGGCTTAGTGTGTGGTATAAATAGTGGAGAATAAATGAATGAAGCTTGGAATATACCAAAACTTAAAGGATAAGTAAAGGAAAGAGGTAGTCAACTTCCTGTCCCATTCCCTTTTCTTCTCTCTCCTATCCCCCTTTCTACCTTAAGGCATTTTTTTCTTCCCACCTTGACACTTAGCCCTAGGAGATCAGTAGCACTCCAATCCCTGCCCTTTATTAATCATCTATTACCAATATTTAGAGAAGAGCCTCTTATAAATGTTCTCAATCAAAGGAGAACATTTTAGAGGAGGAGTGAAAGGATAGAGAGGAGAGGAACAAGAGTAGTGTGCATTGAGAGGAGGAGTGAAAGGATAGAGAGGAGAGGAGAAAGAATAGTGTGCAATACACAATGCCTAGCACTCAGCAAATGCTTCACATGTGGAGAGGCAACTATAAACTAAAATAAATTACGGTCTGAAATTGATTAGAATATGGGTTTTGGAGTCAGAGCAGTCTGAGTTCAATTCCATGTTCTGTCATTTAGGTGTATGGCCTTGGTCAAATAATATTACCGTGCCCTAGTTTTCTTACAAAATATGGATAATAATACAACTTTTGGGTTGTTATGAGATAAAAACAGATGATAAAGTTTTTGGTTAGTGTTACCTATTGATATTTTTATTACCATAATTATAAAGTGCTAACCCAGTTCTATGATCTGATTCTTTATTTTGCATATTACTGATTTTATTAGTTCACATCTTCCTTATCTACTGGGACAGTATGTTAACATCTCACATCTGTGAAGTACTCTGTAATTTCTAAACAACTTTTGTACACATCAGCTCATTTGGTCGTTTTTGGCAAGGACCATCGCATGAAGCTCAGGTGAACCTGATAAACATGCCCTGCTGCTGCTGGTACGTCTTCCAACTTCAGATTCAGAATGAAGAACTTGATCTCCCATGCCTGCATTCCTCACCCACGCTGTCCCTGCTTCATCAAGGCCCCACATTTCCACCACTCAGGCTGCTGGGGTAGGGTGGCTGCTATGCTAGACAGTTTCAACCCTCTCACCAGTTTCTCTGGAGTGTTGACAATGGCCAAAGTGGATCCTTCTGCTTCACAAGAGTCCCTGCTTTTATTCCAAGACAATTCAAAGGAGGATAAGAAAAAGCATCTTCCTTGATGAAGATCCCAACCTTTGGGGCAGACTGAAGAGATCCAAGACAAGAGAATATAAGATTAGTGGTTTAGAAGACCAGGCAATGGTGGCTCAGCAGTGACATAGCTGGACCCACATGGGAAAGCTGCTGGGTTCATGCTCCAGACCTGCCTGGGCACACCTGGCACACATGTGCCTAGCACACACATGCCTTTGTTCCCCATAGCTGAGATGGCCTTATATGAGTGCCTATCTCTCTGTCCATTCATCTGTTTTCTGTTTCTCCCTTTTATGGAAAGAAAGAAATAAACTTATTGGGGAAAAAAAAAAAGATTAGTGGGGCCGGCAAGTGGCATGGTGGTTAAGGCACTGGACTCCCACATAGCCAACCACGGTTTGAGTCCTAGACCTGGCACCATGAAAATCACCCATACATGCCCAAAATTCCAGGAAGAGAATAGAAGAGACAATATTGTGGTATGGCCGTCACAATATATCGCAATCACAATCACACCTGGGGAGTGATTTATCACTTTCTATCTAACCATCTCTCTCTGTCTCTCTGGTAAGTGTATTTCCCCTATGGCAAAAACCAAAAAAAAAAAAAAAAAAAAGTGATTTGAGATGTAAACCCTAGGATGCCAAATAGTGGGATATGAGTTTCTTTTTTAAAGAAGGGTTTTTGCCTTAGGACACATGTGCTCACCAGAGAGACAGAGACAGTGAGGGGGAAAGAGAGAAATCACCCCTGAGGGGGGATGGTCATGCTGCAATCTCTTCTCCATCTCCTCCCAGGACCTTGGCACACATGCACACAGGCCTGGCATGATTTTCAAGCGACCAGGTCCAGGACTTGAACCACAGCTGACCATGTGGGAGTTCAGCATAATTGCTATGCCATCTACTGGTCCTCATGAGTTTCTTTATAACAATCATAATGATACAAATCATCCTCAATCGAGGTAAATATTCCACTTAGTCTAGTCTAGGTTAGTATTTCTCTGTGGAGAGCATGAAAAGAATGAACTGGAAGGTCTTTATGGCCCTTTTGAGCAAAAAAGTTCTATAAGATGGGAGAGAATGGGGAAAGTCTCTAAGAATTCAGCACAAAAGAACTCAGGGGATGGGAAGGAAGGCAGAGCCATGCACTTTACCTGTTCCATAGCTCCTTGTGGGAACGAAGCTGATGGGACTTGGGGAGTTGCTCCCAAAAATCTGTGAGACTGAAATGAAAAGAAAACTTGAAGCTTACTGCACTGTCAGAGCTGTTGGGTCCCTATGGCTGCTTCTGAAGAGTGCAGATGTCTGAGATCCTTGGCCACTTCAGGCTAGAACTTTTTGGTATTTTTTGACTCTTCCATTTTACTATTACCATTATTTGTCATGCTTGACATTCCAGTCCTGTTTCATATCTTTTTTTTTTTTTTTTTGGTATGGTAGTAAGCATGAAATGCTGCAAACAATCAAGCAAAAGGCAGGAGAAAGGAAGAGTAATGGAAGAATTTAGCATCAGAGGAAACTCCTTTGCTCTTTTCTTACCTCTGACAATGTTGTGCCTGAAGCTCCTTCGGAACCTTCTACTCCAGGATCCAACAGCATCATTGCTGCTCTCCCTATTTCTGGTGTCCCAAACCCTCTGTGAAACCTCACACTCCTGGGGAGCTCCTAAGCTCCTCTCTCACCAGCATTTTATCAGCCCTGAGAGTTGTGGCCAGTTGGATCAAATCTCTGGATAATGCAGATATTAGCAAACAAGGAAGCAGGTGAGCATTTCAGAGATTTTCTATAAGCAGAGGGAGGTATATTTATTTCTTTAACTACAAATGGGGAAATTGATAGACTTCAAAGAGATCTCATTTTTCCTGGGAAAACTGGTAGGCTGAGCAGACAGCTGCAGCCTCTCTCCTCAGGGACCCTAGCTATTTGTCCATTGTGGTTGAAGACCACTTTCATTCACTTAGACACCAAATTAGTTTTAAAATTATATAAATAAAACAAACTGGTTAGCATTCACCTTTTGTTTCAGTTTCTAGTTTGCAGACTGTTTGTAACAATAGGTTGGTTTTCATCAGAAAGAACTTTGCAATTATAACTGAAAGAATCTAATTAATATTCCATGAGTGTTTTTTCCATATAGCTCACTGTATTGAGTATGTCAGTTCATACAAAGATGAATGAGAAGTGATATTTTTCCTACAGATGCCACCGTAAGAGGAAGTGAAAGAGAGGAAAGTCCTTAAGAGGATGTGGGCTTAATGAGGAGAGAGCAATTCTACACTCATCTTCATCATTCAATTCCTGTCATTAAGCCTTTTGCTTTGTAGATGACAGTTAATTCATATCTCATGTTTTCATTCTTCTTTTGTGGTTTATCTAACCTACCACTTGGCACACAAAAAGGTGCTTAGTATGATCTTTATTTTTTTTATTTATTTTTTTTTGAGAGATTTTCATTGTAGGGCGCGTGCGCTCGCCAGACAGAGAGAGACATAGAGACAGAAAGCGAGAAATCACCCCCCAGAGGGGATGGTCATGCCGCAATCCCTTCTCCTCCATTCTCCTCTCGGGATCTTGGGCACTCACGCACACGCGCCCGGTGTGAGTTTTAAGCCACCGGGTCCGGGACACGAACCGCAGTCGACTATGTGGGAGTCCAGCGACATAGCCATTATGCTAACTGCTGGTTCCCAGTATGATCTTTATTTTGATATACAGGTTCTTTATAGTAATACCTTATAGGTATACACCACTTTAGAGTTTAAAAAGCATTTTTGCATCATATCGCGTACAGTGGTTATATACAAATCATCCTCATATCCCCAGGGAAAACAGGATCAGAAATTTCACTCGTCTAATCTTGGTTTCCCCATTTATAAAAAGAAGGAAATCAAGCAAAAGGTCTTTATGAAACCTTCGTACAGAAGGATTTCTTGGGTAAAGAAGTCTTGAGAAAGGTCTCTAAGAACTCAGGATATAAGAACCTGGATGGTCAAAAGGAGGTCATTGTCATTCACATTACCTACTCTGTGGCTTTCTGTAGGGAAGAATCTTCATTACTTTTGCCAGAAATCTGTGGGACTATAAAGATAACCAGCCATTGGCATTGCACCAGATGTGAGTGCGTGATGAATATAACTAATAAGCATCACCACAGGGGCTGCTATGACAATGTGGCTGTCATGGAAAATATTGGGCTCTGACTTAGGTCAGTGGAGATGCGTGTGTGGTTTTTGTGTGTGTGTGTGTGTGTGTGTGTGTGTGTGTTTGTGTGACTGTGTTCACTTATTCCTATCCTTATTTCCTTCCTGCTTTCTTAAGTGACAGGAATTACACCTTCAGATTGGGTCACCAGAAGACATCTCTTACCCAAGTGGGCTGCCTCCCACTCACATTTCCTTCCTCATTTATTTTCCCTACTGGCTTCTAGGTCTGGCAAATATTCTGCTTGTCAAATTACATTCAATAATTGTCCTCCCTCTTTGGATTTTTTTTTTTTTTTTTTTTTTTAAAGAATCATTTGGGATGAGTTGATTCCTATGCATATACAGAGAAGTTTATCCCTCAGTTAAATCCTTTTATTTTATCATTCAGCTCTTACTAGTGCATTCTTGGTTGAATTGAAGCTGTATTTTCCAATTTTAGCAACAACAACAAGTAGTGCCAAGTATGTCAACTCAGATTACCCAACTCATGCTTTAGTAGTTTCGTGTGAAGTTCTAATCATTAGACACTGGTCACTTTTATATCGCAAGATAGACAAGGAATCTGGCCCATTGAGTGTGTTGGGGAGTAAGAAGGGCATTGTCAGTTGCCCTCTGTCTGGGTCGAATACCCTCCGTAGGAAGAGCTGAACATGTAACTTTGACACTCATCCTTGAATTCTGACAGAAGAATCACAGAGTAAGACAAGAAAGCTGGGGTAAGAGGTTGCTAAAATACTCACAATGCAACAGAAATAAGGTCATTCCAACAACTTTAAGGACTACTACAATAAGCCCAGACATGATCATGTGCCAGTTCATGACGAAGGAGTTTTTAGGTCCTGCGGGGATTAGAACACATCATTAGAATCTTGGACAAGTCTTTTTTTCACCAGGACACCCAGCCTCTTGTTCAGAGTACCAGTGGGAAGATAGGAAGAGGATACCACTGACAAGTACAAGGAGGAGATGAAACATATGCAGAAAGGAAAAGGACCTTGTGCTGACTGGGAGCATTTGAACTTGGTATGCTGCTCTTCTTTCACTCAGTCCTGCCCCTATCTGTGGCCTCCTAGACTCTGTTTAATAAGGAAATCCTCTCCTATAATTTGAGAACCCTTAGCCTTGAAAGGGCCTTTACTCCCAAGGGGCTTAGTCTTGGTCACACTGACTTCAGTTGTCAGAAGCCTCAGTCTTCAATATGTCAGGGGTAGTTGATAGACACAGCAGTTGTCCCTGAAGGCCATGGTAGTGGGGAAGAGCCAACAGGCTGTGCAGAGAGGACAGATAGACAGACTTACCTGCTCTTTGTCTGAAAGGCTGGGCTGGCTTGCAGATGGAGGTCTAAGCTTGGTATGGTAGGCAGCGGCCCTATTTCCCAAGAATATGCTCCTTCTGCTCAGGCAGTGTCCTTCCTTCTTCACAGTCTCTCTGTCCTGGCAGCATCTGTGAACAAACACTCCTTCCTGTTCAGTGTTCTTGGCAAAGGGAACAGGCGGGGCAAAGAGGGGAAGGAAATCTCTTCTTCGGTAAGAGGAAGGTTTCCATCAGGAGAGTTCTAATACAGGGGAATATTTTTAGGAGAAGCTCAAAAACAAAAAAAACCATTCCCCTGTGTCTGAATCCCCTGGAAACACAATGGGAAGAAAATATAGTAAAATGGTAACTAATAGGAAATCTGGGAAAAGAATCTCAGGAAATTATTTGCATACTTCTACAAGTCTAAAATTATGACAAAATAAAAATATTAAGGAAAAGAATCCAGCTGAAGTCCATGGTATTAGTGAGCAGGTCCTCATATGTCCTTTCTGCTCCATTCACTGTCAGCTTTGCTTAGTCCCTTGTGTCATGGACTCCTCTTCCATTTCCCCTGCTCACTTCCTTGACCACACAGTCATGCTTTAGTATTTCTTGAGCATAACACTCTGTCTGATTTAGGGATGAGGTAAAGAGTAAGCAAAACATATCTTATTAGCAAGGAGTTCTTATTTCATATTAAATTTGAGGTTTACCTTTAATTACATTTCTTTACTATAAAAGTGACATGTGCTTATTATAAAAAAATGACTAGAAAATTGGGAGAAGAAACAACATCTGTAAGTTTTCACATTTAGCTGTAGTCATTGTTAACATCTCAAGGTGTATTATTTCAAGATGAGTAGGTAGATTTAAAAAATAGATGCATATATAGAAAGGCAGATAGATACTGGTTTATTTAGCAAAGTTGGACCATATTGTACATATATTGCTTTATAATCTGTATACCATAGATTAACACCATGTTGTAGTTAACCTTCCATACTGAAATACAGATTTTGATAATGGGGATCAGCAGATGGTATAATCGTTATGTCACTGGATTCCCACGTAGTCGACTGTGGTTTGAGTCCTGGACCCAGTGGCTTAAAACTCACTCTAGGAGCGTGAGCATGTGTGCCCAAAATCCTGAGAGGAGAATGAAAGAGAGGGGGTATTGCAGCATGGCCATCCTTCTCAGGGGTGATTTCTCACTTTCTGTCTCTCTACTTCTCTTTCTCTCCTGCGAGTGCTCGCACCCTATAGCAAAATTCTCTCAAAAATATTTTTTGATAATGTATTATTTAATATATGAATAGTATGTAATTGTATGAGTATATGATTTCTTTTACAATTGGACATTTTTGAATCTTCTAGTATAGTAGATAAGAACGAGTTTTTTAAAAAATTGTGATTTCTGGTTTACATATAATCATTGTATGTCTTTGCGAGGTACAGCATGGTTTTTGAAAGTATGCATACAGTGTGTAATAATCAAATCAAGGATTCAGACGTATTCACCTTATTCAGCATCAAACATTACACGGTGGTGTGCACATTCAATAATAGTTGTACTAGTTCGTTTTTGGTTTTGGAAGTATATGTTGAATTGCCAGTGGCATTTTAAATTCTGTGTTGGTATATCAACTCCATAATCTATTCCGTTTGTTTATTTGCATTCTTGTTTCTGTTAATAATTTTCTCCTGAGTCATCACTACTCGCTGTACTTCTATGCCATTGAGTTCTTTGGTTTCTTCCATAGAGTGCAGATATTTGGCATATGTTAAGTGGGAACATATTTATTTGTCTTTCATAGTCTGACTTATTTCACTTAATATTATATCTGCTAAATTCATCCACTTTGTGTCAAATGACAGTATATTCTTGTTCTCTGTGACTGAGTGGTATTCCATTAAAAACAAAGTTTTTAAAGGTAATCCTGGATTTGATTTCCAAATCTGGCACTTGCTGACTTAATGTCCTTGACTAAGTTATTTAACTTCTTTGGTCTTCCATTTCCTCATCTTTACCATGCTTACAGGTGTACTTGCTAGAGAGTGACAGAGAGGGGGGAAAAGCAAGAAATTACTTCCCATGGGGGGTAGTTATGCTGAAATCCCTTCTTCTATTTTTTTGTCTCAGGATTTTGGGCATGCACACACATATTCCTGGCATGTTTTTCAGGCTGCTGGGTTTGGGACTTGAGCCACACAGTTGATCATATGTGGAATCCAGCTGCTTTAACCACCATGCCACCAGCTGGCCCTTTTCCTCTTTAAATACAAGTAATTATTGTAAATGCTACATGGAGGAGTTGTGAGAAAAGAGCAACATAATGCTTATAATTTTGATACCATCATACCTAGCTTCTTGAAAATAAATTCTCAGTACTCTAGCTGTTTTCTGACATATCCGAAGTACAATGAGCACTCAATTTTCATTCTCAGAAATGTAAGTGCTGGATCATAGCACATGCACATTTGGAGAGCTTTGAAACATTAAAGTTGCATTTTATTTTACTTGGACAATCCTCTGAAGTTTTCTTATTTGTTTATTTTGTTTTTTAAATCTATCTAAACCTAATTCTTCAGGGATAGCATAGTTCCTTGTAGATCCTAGGTTCTGCCCCGAAGGACACCACATATTTACTGGGCACCAATAATGCTCACTATGTTAGGCAGTACTGGATTCAGAGTCTCATTATTATTTAGAAAGTTTTTAAATAATGAAAAAGAGACTTTCCAATGAACTTAATCACTAAAATTAAAATACTCAGGTAGTAAGTGCATTTTCTACAGCACAAACAAGATAAAACAACAAATCTTTCAAATTCCATCAAAAGGGAGAGAAAATGTCATAGTACAAAAGGATGTCTAGAAAGGTTTTCAGGAAAAATGATCTGACCGATGCATGATGGGGCACTTCTGCTTCCTCTAAAGAAATCTAAAGAGAAATCCAAATTCTTATTTAAGTTTTTGGAGCCCAGTGATTTCTTTATCTTTGTTTTTTATGAAGAGGTTTTTGGTATAGGGCACGTGCGTGCGTCAGAAAGAGCAGAGAGACAGAGATACAGAAAGCAAGAAATCACCCCCCGGGGGGATGGCTAGGCTTCAATCCCTTCTCCTCCATTCTCCTCTCGGGATCTTGGGCACACATGGACATGGGCCTGGTTTGAGTTTAAGCTGCCAGATCCGGGATTCAAACTGTGATCCACTACATGGGAGTTCAGCGACATAACCATTATGCCATCTGCTGTTCTCGATTTCTTCAAACTTGACAATATCAGAAAACTGACTACAAAAGGCAGCAGTCTTGGGACCAGATAGTGGTGCAGCAGTAAAGCATGATGCTCTGTGAGGCAGATCACATGGCAAGGTTGTCAGTTCATGTCTGGAGACCTCCCTGAGTTTACCAGGCACATGTGTGCCTTTGATCTGGGCTGGCTGACCCTGGGAGTAGATGGTGGCATTGGGCCCCTGTCAGGGGTTCTGCCTGTCTCTTTTTGTTTCTCTTACTTGTGGAATAAATAAACTTAAAAAAGAAGCAGCAGCAGTAGCAGCCAGCAGTCTGCAATGACAATTAAAAATGCCACTGAGGGGTTACTGGAGATGAAGTCGGTAGCACTGGGAGCTGGTGTGGTGTGAGAGTTGTGGTCCATCCAAAACACATGTTATAATTTGACACCCAGCAGGGTAGTTTTTGAAGGTGGAGCCCAGTAGGAGATATCTGGGACATGGTGGTAGATCCCACATGAATAATTAAGACCAACTTCAGAGAGGAAATTAGTCCACATTAATTAGTTTCTGAGACAGTGGGTTGTTGTAAAGGCAAGCTGGTTGCCGTCAGGTTTCTTTCTTTGCATGCACCTGCTTTCCTTTCCATTCGTCTTAGTCATGTTACAATACAGCACCACTCGCTGGTGTGCAGCTTCCCACAGACAGACGCTAGCCTCATGCCTGTAGACTTTCCAGCTACTGAACTGTAAACCAGATAAATCTCTTGACTTTATAAATCACCGAGTCTCAGTATTTTTGTTATGGCAACACAAATGGACTAAGACAGAATATTGGTTCTGAACTATGGGGTGTTGCCATACAGATACCCGAAAATGCAGAAGTGGTTAATGTGTAGGAGTTGGAAAAGGTTGGAGGATCAGGCTAGGGAAAGCCTGCATTAAAGTGAATGCAGCATTAGGGGCAATAGTAGTGGGGCACTCAGAAGAGTAGTCTAGGAATGGACCAGACTTCTTAGAGATGGGTTAAGCAACTGTGACCATGAAAACTAAACGCCACTATGAGGAGATCTCACATGGAAATGAAGAAATTACTGGGAGCTGGAGGAAAAGCCATCCTTGTTAGGAAGTAGCAGATAATTTAGCTGCATTGTGTCCATGTCCTAAGGCATTATGAAAGGCAGATCTTTAGAATGATGACCTAAGTTAACCAGCAGAAGAAGTTTCTAAGCAGCAAAGTATTTAGGCTGCTGCATGTTGACTTTTAATCAAATTCCAGAAATGTAAGAGTAGAGGAAAGCAGAAAAATGATTTGTAAAATTCACAGCCTGGCCATGTAGTAGAGAGAGGCCCAGCTGAGTTTAGGTATCCCTTATCTAAGGTAGCATGATGGCATGCATTGTTTTTCCTTGGGACAACTTACTGCATAATTACACACTAGTTTGTTTCCCTGGTTAGACTCTTTGAAGTCATGAAGGCAGAGGCCAAGTCCATCTTCACTGCTGTAGCCTTAGCACATTCACAGTGATTGGAACACTGCACTGTGGCATTAGGCTTCTAGACCTGTAATCCAAGCCTTTAACTGTTTGAGTGTGGTAGGTCTTCAAAACGTTTATCAATCAATAATCTGTGAGATATCATTATACCAATTAACAAATTTACTGTCATACTTTTCAAGAAGGAGAATTTAAATGCCAGGTCATTTCCAAAGATAATGATTCTTGATAAAAAAAATTATATCTTAAATAACCACTCTGGAGTAGAGTTATGATCACAGCACTTCATATGATAACTAACCATACCCTAGTTTTTAAATAGAGTTAACTTATTTTGTCCATATCGTATTACTAATATTGTTTTTATTTTAATAGTAAAATGCCACTCAGATAATTTAACAACCCAGAATTCATAGAATGCACAGATATAAAA